AGCTCCCTCAGGTGAGAAGCCAAAAGAAGAACCAGCACCAGGGGACAAGCCGAAAGAAGAATCAGCGTCAGGGGAAAAGCCAAAAGAAGAGCCAACTGCGCCAGCTGAACAACCAAAGGAAGCTCCGAAAGAAGGTGCTGCACAAGGCCAATCTGCTGAACAACAACCTGCGCCCCCGGGCCAACCCGCTGAACAACAACCTGCTCGGAGGACCCGGGGCCAGAACTGCTGACAACAACGACTGCAGCCCCACAGAAGAACAACCCCGCTGAACAACAACCTGCGCCCCCGGGCCAACCTGCTGAACAACAACCTGCACCACAAGGACAACCCGCTGAACAACAACCTGCGGTACCAGCTCAAGAACAATCGGGAGTGGAAGCTCCAAAAGAGCCTACTGATCCAGATAAAGAAGCAGATGTAGAGCCGGGTCAGTCACAAGCAGCTGCCCCTCCATCTGATAAACCGAAAGAAGAGCCCGCTGCAGCTGAAAAACCACCGAAAGATAAGGCCCGGTACCGGTGCTGAAGACGAGAAGAGAGAAGATCCACATCAATGCTAGGTGAGAAGCCAAACGGACAGAAACAGCACCAGGGGCAAGCCGCAAATGAAGATCGCGCTACAGGGGAAAGCCAAAAGAAGAGCCAACTGCGCCAGCTGAACAACCAAAGGAAGCTCCGAAAGAAGGTGCTGCACAAGGCCAATCTGCTGAACAACAACCTGCTGCCCCCGGAAAGAAGAACCGGCACCAGGTGACAAGCCGAAAGAAGAACCAATATCAGGGGACAAGCCAAAAGAAGAGCCAACTGCACCAGCTGAACAACCAAAGGAAGCTCCGAAAGAAGGTGCTGCACAAGGCCAATCTGCTGAACAACAACCTGCGCCCCCGGGCCAACCCGCTGAACAACAACCTGCGGCACCACCTCAACCTGCTGAACAACAACCTGCACCGCCAGGCCAACCCGCTGAACAACAACCTGCGGCACCAGCTCAAGCACAGTCGGGAGTGGAAGCTCCAAAAGAGCCTACTGATCCAGATAAAGAAGCAGATGTAGAGCCGGGTCAACCACAAGCAGCTGCCGGTCAGGCAGAAAAACCGAAAGAAGAGAAGGCTCCGGTGAGCAAGCCTAAAGAAGAATCGAGTACACCGGTCGAGCAACCTAAAGAAACTGCAAAAGAGGGCGCTGAACAAGCTCAATCAAGCAGCAAATGAAGTGCCGAAACAATCTGGTGACCAAGAGAAAGAGGCAGGAGTAGAGCCGGGACAAGCAGCTCCTGCGACACCATCGCAGCCATCTGAACAGCAAAATGAGGCTCCGGCGGCACCTTCACAACCACAAGAAGCATCTGGAGCTCCACCACAGCCACCTGAGCAGCAGAAGGAGGCGCCGCAAGAACCACCGACAGCTCAGTCTCCAAAGGAAGAAACAGCAGTGAGTTCCTTATAAAATGCTACTTTGAACTTTCTTTGAAGGGTCACCTTGACACCGAATAAATAGGCACATTGTATGAAAATTCATAATAGCATAACATGCAGCAGACAAAGTTGGAACAGCGGACAATTTAGTCTCCCCATCCTATTGTTGTTAACATAGCTGTCCTTTCGTAAACGAATACGAATACAGTGCGCTCTCACCGGACGGTGGGGCGGTCCCTACGACCACGCTGGCGAGCGTTCCGGTGATTGCGTGTCAATGGAAAGGCGAAAACTTTTAGGAGATCATCATCATTGCCTCTCCGTCTCTGATGCTGACTCTGCGCTCTAACACACGCCGCCGCACCGTCTACTCACTCTTCCGCTCTGGACTCTCGCCGATCGATAATTGCTCTCGATCAGCTGATTCCTGCCGCATTTTCGCAGTATTTTTGCTAGATTCAGCTTGTTAAAGCTGAAATTTCCGACTTTCGACTTTAGTTTTTGGAGGTGACTAGCTAAATGTGGCAGTAGTGCTGCGAAAATGCGGCAGAAATCAGCTGATGGAGAGCAGTTATCGATCGGCGAGAGTCCAGAAGGGAAGAGTGGTAGATTGTGCGGCGGCGTGTGTTAGAGCGCAGAGTCAGAAGAGACGCAGAGACAAGGTTTTTGCGCCTTTCCACCAACAAGCAAAGCAACCATCGGGACGCTCGCCAGCGTGGTCTTAGGACCGCCCCACCGTCCGCTGAGACTGCAGTGTACTTATACCATCCTACTATATATAATCCGCTAAGTTTGTCTGTTGGTGTGTGTGTGTGTGTGTGTGTGTGATCCGTTCAAGGTGCGTTATGTTATACCAGTCTGGCTGACGCGCATTTCTGCGCGCATGGTTAAACCTTTGTTACTGATAACTGACAGGATTCCTGTGCTGAGCACTAACACTTAGCCTAATTCCTATGTTTCCAAAACGGCCCATTTCATCATGTTTCTCCCTTTTAATGAACACTTGCCAATGTTAGGTTCTTATCATATTTCTAAAAGCACCATTCGTTGGAAATAGGACAGCATAGCGGTTGGAAGGATTCCGATGGTAAAAATATTGAAATCATAGGGGCTCTCATCATTCCTCACT